AGGCAACAGGACGTCCCAGAATCTTTTAGTGGGAGCACAGAACCAAACCCCCAATCTTGTACATCTTCCTGAGAAGCTAATAGCAAGCTAATGCCTGGCAGTTTTCGCTACAGTATTTTTTTTAATATAAAAAACCCAGCACTGATCAAAAATACAATTTTATCTTTCAGGCGACGACCATCATTTGGGCTGTTTAATGCTGATGGCAACAATTAAAGAGCCTGGGACAGCATGAAGCAAATCGCTTATAATAATAAGCAAATTTGAAGCAAAATTCCTTCTCTCTACGTGCCAAATGAATCCCATCGTGGCTACCAGCAAAGCAGCCAATGATTGCTTTCCACTGAAAGGAAGCCACGGCAAATGGTGCTGGAGCCTTTTACGTGACCTCAAGCTGCCACTCTCTAACCGGCCTTCCCCAGGCAGGAACCAATTACTGGCTGTTATTTTATCTACATTTCAAAGCAAATTCAACTAAGTCCCCAGGGATTCTGTGCGTCTGTCTAGGCACAGGCTGTGTTGTTTTTGTACAGTCACCAGATTTCCCTGATGATCCCACCTCTCCTCCCTTTTGACATCTCCACTTCCAGTCCAACCAAAAGGGGTTCCAACATTGAGGCTGTAATATTAACAAAAGATTTATAAACTAATTTAAGCATTGCATACAAATTATTCAATATCTTCCTCCCCGCTCCCCCAGCCATCCGTTTAGTCAACCTTCTAAAGCCCTGAGTGGTGGTGGTGTTGAATGACAGCTCTGTTAAACCAGTACATTTACCCTCGTTCACTACATTCTCCATTATTCCCACACCAACCTAAAATGTCTATTCTCTGTGGCTGAATACTTTAAAACCTGCCTATTTAAGTTTTAACAACAGCCTGCTTGTGAATCAGTTTCTTCACTGGCTTCCTGAATAGCTCCCCTCCCCCTCCATTCTGTTCAGCTCCATTTCCCTTTCAATGCTGGAGCTTCAGATCATTGGGAAGAAATTCCACGCGGGTCTAGAGTGACAATTTATGTAGCATTTCAGAATGTCAAAATTTTGGCAAGTTCTTAAATGCAGCCTTAACTCTTCTGTAAGTTCTTTCAAGAAAGTTATTTCAAGAAAGTTAAGACTTCAAAATTAAGACTTAAGATTTTTTCCCCTATTATATTTATTTGGGTTACAAAATACACAATAAATCCACGTTACAGTAAATCCTGTGAAGGTATTTGAGGCGTCCTCCTGACATGAATGGCGCTATATCGAATGTAAGGATTATTATTTAAAGATGGAATGAATAATAATACTTGCATTTGATTCAGTGCCTTTCGTGTGAGGATGTCTCAAGCGCTTTGTAGGATAATAACAATCCTTCCATTTGATATAGCGCCTTATCTCAAGTCTACTAGACGTCTCAAAGCGCTTCACAGAATATACTGTAAAATTAATTGACTGTATATTTTGTGGGCGAAATCGAGGATTTACTGTAATATGTATTGACTGTGTATTTTGTAGGGGTACACAACCCCATAGGTATATGTTCTGTGTATTTTGTAGGCAAATAAGCACAGCCGCATGGGTACAGGAGCCATCTTGCATTCAGTTTCAGGGTTCTGCAAAGGCAGCTAAAGTGTCTAAATGCAGTTTCAGATAAAGCTCCGCTGCCTGCTGTTTGCAGGCCACTGATGGCTTGTCTGGGATAAGCACTAAACTACAGAGACTTGCTCCTTTTACACTACATTTAAACTTTGTGCATTATCTAAGCCCTTGTCAAGCACGGGAGTGTTTGACAGAGAACATAGTACAGAGCTAGGCAGAAGGCGTAAAAGCCACATCTGTGGAATTTAAGAAGCAGGAAAATAGATATGTTAATTCCCTATGAATGCCTCCGCCACACAAACATTAAGGTGGGCGGAGGGGAGAGTGAGAGAGTGAGCACGAGAAACAGAAACAATTCAATCATTGTTTCTCGTTTGCCAATCGATACTAATATTTGACCTTGGCAAACAGGTTTAATGTCATTAGCAAAAATCACACACGTAAGCATTATTTCATTACAGCTGTAAAATGTGGTATGTACAGTACATAAAACACACATTAGATTCCAGCTTCCTGAAGAGATTGCAGTGCCTCACTTGAACTCAATTAAATCCATTAATGTATATTACAAATCACTGACTCCATCCAGTGAGTCAAATCTCTCAGCTACCGTTGTCATTGCTCAGTGCAGAATGGGTTTTGCTTTATTAAGGACATTCCCAGATAAAGCATCTTCACAAAGATTCACATTACTCCCACCTTCAAATATCTCACTGAAACCTTTTTCTCTACCCCTCCCCCCACCACACCCCTTTCTCTCCATTTAAAAGCACTCCTGAAAGTCATGCCTCCTCTCCTTTCACACTGGATAATTAGAGCCAGAAGGTCTGACAGTTTACGTAATGGTCTCCAGAGGCAATTTGTCATGCCAGATATTAGCCATCTTCTGGAGCTTAGTAGCCCATTTGTTTCCTTTCTGTTGCGTACAAATGGTTTACCAGCCGGAGCTGGAGAAAGAGCGGCGTTATTCAGTCTGACATCTGAGCTGCTTTTGCACGTCCATTGTACTGCTTCTCTTAGCAACTTCAGAGCCTGAGGCAGGAAGGAGTCTCTTCTAACTTTAAATTATCACTGCTGTTGATTATAACTCTCGGTAATAGTACTCTTTGCCGGGCTGCTATTAGAAAAGGACTAATCACATTTTCATTAAGAATTCTGAGCGCCTTTCTTTTCAACTGCTAACAGGCAGAGACTTGGCACTCTTCCCTTCTGACTACACTGCACTTTTTATTAGCAAAATACCCGAGACCTTATTAACACAAGAGAGACCGAAATGATAATTGGCAAAGGATCAAGCAGCTTTAGAGTCATCTCCACCAATAGTAAAGAGGCACGCAAGGTTATTTGAAAAGGTAGGGGGATGGCAGGTGTTGGTGGGAGGTAGGTGCCTGGGAGGAGAGAGGCCTGGAGGGGGACGGAGGGTGGGCTGAGGGAAAAAATAACCGTCAGAACATTCCACGGAAATCTGCACTAAAACTTTTAAAGTAGCAACCTTCAAGGTGGAATTATTTTGAACTCCATTTGGCGCCCCACTGTTTATCACAGTAAAATGCAAAGCACCAAATTATTTTTAGCCTGAGCAATATTTCATGCTGTCTGTCACCACTCTTAAGAAGAAAAGAACAGCAAAAACTCCAATCTTTGGGCTCTAAATCAGCCCAGGAGGTAACACAATCAATCCTCGGTTAAAAGCATGGCATGTCTTACAGGTATTACAGTGGAGCTTTCTTCTAATCTGATCTACAAAGAGACACAACAACTTGCATTTATATAGCGTCCTTCACACTGGGTAGCATCCGGAGCGCTTAACACTACAATTGTATTATGACCAAATCTGCACTATAAGCAAACACATTACAATGGGACCGCACTGCATTATTATTGCTCATCCACTCAATTGCTCATCTGCGTAATTCTATTAAATCAGCGTGGGTTACCAATTTGGTTTAAAAAAGAAATATCTAGCTCACTGCATGGCTATTTTACGGCTTCAAAAGAGAAGGAATTATTCCACAAATCATAGACAAAGGGAAAATCCTTTGATCGGCAGTGAAAAAATAATAAAAACATTCCACTTTGCTGTTCATACACCAGGAAATAGGAATCTCTTTTTCTCTTCAACCATTAGTTCTGCTCAAGCGTAAACTACTCAGTGGGTCAGAAGGCTATTTGATTCTCCATGAATAACTCTATTAACGTCACCACAGGCTCTGTTACTGTACCACAAACACCCACACATTCTAGATCTGGAAGACAGTAAGTTTACAGCAGTCTAGCTATTCTGAAAGCACTAAACTTTTTTTTAAACTGAATTCATGAATGCTCAGTTATTTTTGGCGTTCGTCACTGGCTACAAAAAGCTTTTCTTATTTCTTACACATTAATTCACCACACAATATATTCTGTGAAGCGCTTTGAGACGTCTCGAAAACGTGATAAGGCGCTGTATCAAATGCAAGGATTATTATTATTGGTTATCTCAAAGAACAGAAACGGGGTGGGGGGGGGGAAAGAAAGTCAAACAGTGAACTGATGCCATTATCCGTCAGCCTCTTCTGACTTCAACTATTAATCCTCTCAGTGCCACATTTCCATTGCTTCACATTCAAACAGCTACATACACATATATATAGCAGCCATAGACAACCATATGGAGGTCCTTTTTTGTTGTTGCAGGGATTGTATTACAATTCTGATTTACCAGCCAAAGCTGGTGTTGTTTTCTTTAAAACAGTAGCACAGAACTAGTTGTGGAAAAATATAATCCCAATACAAGCAGAATAGTAACTAACGACACCTCTGGTTGGCCAACAAAATAATTATTTTTTGATTGAATATTTCTTAATTCATGGCATAAATGGTATTTTGTTATTTCTATGATAATTTTGTTGGCCAAAAAAGTTGGCCACCAGTGGACTACGCAAAAGGCAAGCTGGTGCAAAAAAGCTGGCACACAGCACCCTTCCGCTGCAAATCTGCAATAGCCACCACCATGTATACAAGAGGAGGGAATCTCACCCAAAAGTTTTTTGTGGGGTCTGTCCAAAAATTAACCTGACCTTTTAACCTCGGTCACTGTGGGGGTTGTAAAATCTCAATGTCACTGCCAAATAGGATATAAGTTCAAATGTTGACTGCTCTTAAACAGTTTATGATTTGCACTTTTAATCCCATCGTCATCGGGTGATACAAATGCAATGAATTAGGTGTGCGCCATTTAAACAGCGTGAGACAGCGGATAGGGGAACGACCCAATCTGCCTGTATATGTTCCAGTTAAGCTGCCAACTGGCCACCGACTGCACTAAAAGAAATTGCAAATGTTTTTCTTTTTTGAGGGTTTAATCCACACACAGCACAAACCTGATCCCACATGGCAATTTCATTACAGAACAAAAGTAATAATTTGATGTCTTACCTTCCTCCGTTTCATGCCACACAATCCCTTCCAAATTGACACTAGTTCCTGGCTCACAAGGTCCAAGGCATTCGGGTTCAGTCACTACTCCAACATCACAAGCATTTACACCCAAGGATCGAGTCCGTACTAAAAGCTGCTCAACTGGGGCAGCAATACTGGATGAAGAGAAGTAGGAAGGTAGAATCTGAGGTGGCACACTCGAAGCGATTGGTGGCGGAGGTGCAGGCACGGTGAACAAGGGGTCAACCTGAGGAGAAACAACGCATGGAAACATTACCATCAACGTCTATAGAAAGACACTGTTTTTCATAGCCTAAAATAACTGCACTTGCTGCTTAGATCAAAGAGCAATCATCAGGGTCAAACTGCAACTCACAATCTTTTGGCAGCGGGTATGTGCAGTAAAACTCGCAGGTCAAATCTGTATATAAATCGTATAACCGCCTAACTTGTCCATTTGTCCATGTCCCATTCAAGAGTTTATATTCTGTGCAAGTTTGACATTACTCATACGTTGCAAAAATCATATTAAATGTGTGGTCCCAACTGATACGACTTATATGAGGTTTAATATAATTACCAAATCGTAAAAAAAGGTCACTACATTTGTGAAGAGCTTAGAGGCATTTTGACGTGATAACAGACTCTAAAAATACCTATCCATCCATTTTTCCCCCTAAACAAAACAATGACCCTGAACGCTTGGTCTCATTTCGCCGTTAACATATCTATTCTATTCGGATTTCATGTGATCTAAGGCCTTGGTAAGTTTCTCACACAGAAATGCACTGATTCCTTGAAAAATGTTCTTGGAATCCTCAAGACCATTAGGTTACAGTGAACCTTGCAGACAAACATGGGCCAGCAGAATTGTGGTCGTTTTCTAGAAAGCCTTGCTCAAGGCTGGATGATTCAAACATTTAATAATAATAATAATCCTTGCATTTGATATAGCGCTTTTCACGTCTTCTAGACGTCCCAAAGCGCTTCACAGAATTTACTGTAAAGTGAATTGACTGTATATTTGTGGGCGAACGCGGTAGCCAATTGCGCACAGCAATGTCCCACAAACAGTCATGGATTGAAAATGACCAATTTATTATTGTTTTGTTTTTTTTGGAGGGATTATTATTAGACATATGGAGTAAGGAAACTTGCCCAAGGTTTCGCCCTGACTGGAATTGAACTCAGGTCTCTCACTTGCAAAGCGAGTGCTCTAACCACTGAGCTACAAGACTCCACGAACCTGTTTTGAACCTTTAGTGTTCGTGTACGGGTTCTCAGTGACCCACGTGAACATCTAGTCAACACAAACATCTGCCATGTTTCGTTCACAAAATATAGTCAATTTACTTTACAGTAGATTCCATGATACCCTTTCGAGACGCCTCAACAACGTGATAAGGCGCTAAATCAAATGCAAGGATTATCATTATTATTAACACCTTTTACTGCTAGGTGTACGTATCACTTGGGACCACAACGCCAAATCGTGCAGGGTACAGCATTCACTCTGAGCATATGCGCAAATTGGCTGCAGCGTGTCCCTATAAAATACACTGTCACTGCACTTTACAGTAAATCCTGTGAAACTCTCCAAGACACTACCCCCTGTGAAGGGCACTATATAAATGCAAGTCATTGTTGTCTGTTGTTGGTATTAGCACCTTATCACATCGTCAAAATGTCACAAAGCGCTTCACAGGATTTTACTCTAAAGTGTAGTGACTTTATATTTATAGGCAATTTATAATGTATAACGACTGTATAATGAGAACATTGTGACATCCCCATTTAATGGATCATCCAGTCTGTCTGCCGCTTGTCTATTCCCATTAAGAGAGCTGCTCCCAGCCTCTTACGGACAGGTCTTTGCCATCCTGCTCACATAAAACTGCTGACAAGCCAGAGGATTATATCCTCACAATGCGGCGGTGTACTTTGTAATTTAATATGTATAAAATGAGCTGATATGAGGACTAAAATCTCTCAGTTCTCCCCCACCCCTCCCCTCCTCCCAACACCACCACAGCCGCCTTGTCAATGGAAGTTGTTGAAACACAGATAGCTTCAGGGAAGACTGCAACTGTTTTAAAGCTGAAAGACACATTCTTTGATGAAACCTCCCTTTGTTGTGAACTGAAAACCTGTTTCGAACCTTACAAGCACTTGTAGACTATAATCAAATGTAGTCCCGCAGAACCTACAGGACGGGCTCTCTTCCCATCCCCCCACTTCCACCACCTCCGCCTCTCAGTCAACATTCAAATTGAATGAGAATAAAAACAAAAGGCACAAAGACTTTATTCAGGGGGGGAAAAAAAGAGATAACAAAGTGACACTGATGAGTCACTTTCATTAGACAACCTTCTGATCCCATCTGCTCCACAACAGTACCGCACAGGGTGATACAAGGAGTGGGTGTAGCAACTCAGCACTTCAAAAGTTCCAACACAAAACACCCCACTAAATACAAAGATATCACAATTTTATTATGAGAGGTACTGTAGTTACTCATGTTGCAGCCTTGCCACCTCCTGCTTCCCAACACACACCTCCTCCAATTGCCTTTTCTCATCTCTATCCGGTTATGAAGGAGGCCCGCTAAGAGCGCACTATATTCTCTTGTCGTGGCAAAATTGGAAACCAGCCGTACAGAAAGCACAAGTCGCGCACGTCTGAACAGCTGGACGTGACAGCCTATCAGGATGGGGAAAGTATCTGTCAGAAACAGACACTCTGCAGTCGGCGACATTACTCCAGCTCGATTTTTCCCAGGTGCCTACATGCACTGAGCAGAAGCTTGGCAATTCATCACACAAACCAAAGTAGAGTCAGGCTTGCTCTACAAAAGGGTTTGTTCACACACAAAACACACATTTCTTAACTAAAAATCAACTGACCCAGCCGATACAAGAGATCCAATTCTTCTGAAAGGTTGGCTGGCGCTTATTGATGTAGATGAGGTGTTTTTTGTATAAATACACCAACACATAATACCTTCGCGGTTCACAGATCTACCCTGCGTGCACGGCCGATAATAAGCAATAGATGATTCGCCAAAAAACATATTACCCCCAAACCACAAACAAGAGACTATGAAGCAATACACAAAACATCTGCGCTGGTGTGCTGTGAAAGGAACCGCGGAGGCCATGAATCACTGCTCAGGAATCACTTGCTCTGTTTGCATTGGTGCTCCCAATCAGCAATTCTCAAAACCCTAACAACAAACGTCCCTCGTGGCTTTGAAGTTGTTATTTTATATAAAAAAATGGGATGAATTTAGGTGATCAGCAATTGATGGACACCAATTCTCAAAACCCTAACACAAAAAATCCTCTTGGCTTTGGGTGTTTAACATAAAAAATGGGCAGAATTTAGGCGGTATTGTGGGGATTTTTTTGCCAAGGCCTGTAGCTTTCCCCTGGATGGGTTATCAATAACATGTATTTATATAGCACCCTTCATGTAGGATAATGTCTTGGAGCACTATACAGGAATGGGGTTAGATGCCAAGCAAGAGGGGAGGAGAGGGAAAGTGGCCATATGCACATTCAAAGAGATAGGCTTTAAAGCAGAATTTAAAGACAGAGAGAGGGGGCAAGACAAATGGTGGAGGCAATGAGTTGCAGAGGTTAGGAGCGTAGGATCTGACATTAGATCTTCAATTTTTGTGAGAGGTTAAATGATAAATTTGATGTGACCGGGTTAGGCGACTTTTGTTACTTCTCCCCCACGCAATGATTCCTGATATCTGTTATTGTAAATGGATCCGATGATCGTGTCCCATTATAAGTATTATTTTTTTGTTTGTTTTCTGCACTTATTATTTATTATTAACAAGCCTCGCATTTGATACGGTGCCTTACCACGCAGTCAAAATGTCTCTGGGCATTTCACAGGATTCTACTGCCAAGTGTAGTGACGGTGCTTTTATGGGAAATTGATACTCAAAAAGGATGAATAAAAAGACACCAAATGAAGGAACATGGCACGGACTGATCTGGAGTTCGGAGAGATAGAGGGAGAGAGAGACACTCTTTTTATTTTATTTGAGCGTGTGGCATTCCGATCGCTGAGGTATTCTGTAAATCACCAAAGACGGCTGCCTAAGCTGGTTGAGAAGACTTTTAAAAGCGACACTGATTCTGCTTAAAGATACGGCTACCACCAATCTAATCATTAGTACTGCGACAGCACTCGTGTGAACACATCAATTATGGGCGAGTGCCAAAAGCTCCAGAGATCTAGGAGATTAACAGCCAATCCTCTGTTTTACAAGTGCACATCAAAAAGAATATTAATAAGAGGAGGGGGCGGTGTGAAAGCTTGTCAGGCTGATTCAGCCACTGATGTAAAGTATTTCTTCCAGCCTTGAACTATTCCAAGAAAGAAACTGGCACAGACAACAAAGTCCATAGAACTCCACCACCCCCCCTCCCTTTTCAAAAGCGCTTTTGCTTGCGATCACTGTAACATTTAGGAAAAGGAAAAGTCTGGACTTAATTTCTGCCTTCTTGAGAGAAAATGTTTATGGGCCAGAACACATAAAGCTCCAGCTTCTCGTTTTAGCCCGTTCTCTTTTGGGATGTTGAACCCGAACATTACAAGGTAGAACTGCATTTATCTAATAATGGTATTCTCTTTCCCCGCCCCCACCACCGCTTTCACCTCTTGCAAAAAACAAATAGACTCGTCTCAAATTTCAGAGCGCTCCATCTCTGCCGATTTCTTCTTGAAAACACTTGGGATTGTCAAAACGTATCTACAGGTGCTCCTAGAAGGAGGGAAGCTAATTAGTTTATGCAAGATTCACAATATAATAATCATTAATTTGATATAGCATCTTATCAAGATGTCTCAAAACCCTGCACGTGAATTTTACTGTGAAGTATAGTGACTGCGTATTTTGTCCAATCTGTTTAAAGTAAAAATAATCTTTGAGTTTGACATAGCTCCTATATTTACCGAGAACGACCCAAAGGGCTTTCCAGAGTTTCTGTGACGTGTAGTGACTGATTATTTGTAGGTACTGCATTGTGTAGGCTGATACAAGGAATAAGGCAGTTTATTGAATTCTGTGGCTTCTACTGCAAGAAGTATTTGGAATGCAGATTTCTTTTCATCAAGACTTCCCTGTATTATTGCTGTTCCAGACTGCTTGATATTGCCAAATACAAACTCCTGAATACAGTATTCCTAACATCGCTGGAAATCTATTACTGTTTAGCCAGTCAACCACCA